GACAACCACGCCATTGGAACAAAGGAATGTCCCTAGCAGTAATTTTAGGGCCCTTGATACCCTTCATAGGATAAGAATCCCCAATCTTACTCTCCCAAGCAGAGGACTGGAGCGGATTCCTTATATCCGGAACGTCATAACCGGCCAGGAGTTGACGGAGAGAGTCTCTCTCTGCCAAGAGTTTGTGGCCTCGTCTCTAACAGCGCCTGCTTTGTCTGCAGGATGTTGCTGAGTACCCAACTGAATAAGTAACTCCTCCAGTTCCTTTTGGCAATCCTCTAGACGGCGTTTGAGCGCGGCAGTCGGAGAAACATGCTTGGATGCCCAAGTTGACTGGGCCATAGGGAACCCTGATCGGTGGATGCATCCGATGCATCTGTCATTGGCACGTCCTTGTATGCGTGCATCTCAGTCGAATTCTCGTTGGAGGGGTTCATGTTGGTAGTATTCACCGTAAAAAATGTGATATAGATGGATAGAGACGTTGAGTACGGTGAGACTGTTGTTTATTCTCGAAAGAGATGACCTCTTTAGTATCTGGTATTCAAAGATAATAACTAGTATCGGGATTTGAATGTACAAATAGTGTGTAACTACTCTAGTGTCTCTTATCTGCTTAAACCGAGGTAATTCTTATGTAGTGGTATATGAACCCTATCTATACAACAGGTACACTTTATAGAACACCTTATAAAAGAAGTGATACACTTTATAAAAGAAGCAGTACATCTTGACAGATATCTAAGACTAGTTAATTTAGAAGGGTTAAAAAAATAGAGTAAATTTTAAAAAAAATCATAAAAAAAAATAGCTAAGTTAAATTTAATAATAAATGATAAGAAATAAAAGATTTTAATAAATAAAATATATTGAGGAATTATCACTATCATCATAATATTATAAAATGTCAGAAGAATTAAAATTTAAAAATTTAAAAATAATATATTATTGTATTATTAAACTGTTAGTTGTATTATAAACTAAAAAAGAAGTCAGTAGAGCTATCCTATATGGGTAGCATAAACGTAATGTTGCTACTTGTCTATGGATGTGGTATCATAATGTTGTGAGGTCATCAACATTCATGATACATTCTGAGGATAGTGGCTGTTCCTCATTAAAGATATGTAAAATAATTTTGGATATATGAAATAATTAAAAAAAAATAGAATAGATGTCACACAAAAGAGCAAATATGGATAACAGTCCTTATAAAAGAAGCGGTACACCTTATAAACGAAGCGGTACATCTTATGAAAGAAGCGGTACACCTTAGAAAAGAAGCGGTACACTTTAAAAAAGAAGCGGTACATCTTATGAAAGAAGCGGTACACCTTAGAAAAGAAGCGGTACACTTTAAAAAAGAAGCGGTACACTTTAAAAAAGAAGCGGTACACTTTGAAAAAGAAGCGGTACACTTTAAAAAAGAAGCGGTACACCTTATAAAAGAAGCGGTACACCTTAGAAAAGAAGCGGTACACTTTAAAAAAGAAGCGGTACACTTTAAAAAAGAAGCGGTACACTTTAAAAAAGAAGCGGTACACCTTATAAAAGAAGCGGTACACTTTGAAAAAGAAGCGGTACACTTTGAAAAAGAAGCGGTACACTTTGAAAAAGAAGCGGTACACCTTAGAAAAGAAGCGGTACACCTTAGAAAAGAAGCGGTACACTTTGAAAAAGAAGCGGTACACCTTAGAAAAGAAGCGGTACACTTTAAAAAAGAAGCGGTACACCTTAGAAAAGAAGCAGTACACTTTAAAAAAGAAGCGGTACACTTTAAAAAAGAAGCGGTACACTTTAAAAAAGAAGCGGTACACTTTGAAAAAGAAGCGGTACACTTTGAAAAAGAAGCGGTACACCTTAGAAAAGAAGCGGTACACTTTAAAAAAGAAGCAGTACACTTTAAAAAAGAAGCGGTACACTTTAAAAAAGAAGCGGTACACTTTAAAAAAGAAGCGGTACACTTTGAAAAAGAAGCGGTACACCTTAGAAAAGAAGCGGTACACTTTGAAAAAGAAGCGGTACACTTTGAAAAAGAAGCGGTACACTTTAAAAAAGAAGCGGTACACTTTAAAAAAGAAGCGGTACACTTTGAAAAAGAAGCGGTACACTTTGAAAAAGAAGCGGTACACCTTATAAAAGAAGCGGTACACTTTGAAAAAGAAGCGGTACACTTTGAAAAAGAAGCGGTACACCTTAGAAAAGAAGCGGTACACTTTAAAAAAGAAGCGGTACACCTTATAAAAGAAGCGGTACACTTTAAAAAAGAAGCGGTACATCTTATGAAAGAAGCGGTACACCTTAGAAAAGAAGCGGTACACTTTAAAAAAGAAGCGGTACACTTTAAAAAAGAAGCGGTACACTTTAAAAAAGAAGCGGTACACCTTATAAAAGAAGCGGTACACTTTGAAAAAGAAGTGGTACACTTTGAAAAAGAAGCGGTACACTTTGAAAAAGAAGCGGTACACCTTAGAAAAGAAGCGGTACACTTTAAAAAAGAAGCGGTACACCTTATAAAAGAAGCGGTACACTTTAAAAAAGAAGCGGTACATCTTATGAAAGAAGCGGTACACCTTAGAAAAGAAGCGGTACACTTTAAAAAAGAAGCGGTACACTTTAAAAAAGAAGCGGTACACTTTGAAAAAGAAGCGGTACACTTTAAAAAAGAAGCGGTACACCTTATAAAAGAAGCGGTACACCTTAGAAAAGAAGCGGTACACTTTAAAAAAGAAGCGGTACACTTTAAAAAAGAAGCGGTACACTTTAAAAAAGAAGCGGTACACCTTATAAAAGAAGCGGTACACTTTGAAAAAGAAGCGGTACACTTTGAAAAAGAAGCGGTACACTTTGAAAAAGAAGCGGTACACCTTAGAAAAGAAGCGGTACACCTTAGAAAAGAAGCGGTACACTTTGAAAAAGAAGCGGTACACCTTAGAAAAGAAGCGGTACACTTTAAAAAAGAAGCGGTACACCTTAGAAAAGAAGCAGTACACTTTAAAAAAGAAGCGGTACACTTTAAAAAAGAAGCGGTACACTTTAAAAAAGAAGCGGTACACTTTGAAAAAGAAGCGGTACACTTTGAAAAAGAAGCGGTACACCTTAGAAAAGAAGCGGTACACTTTAAAAAAGAAGCAGTACACTTTAAAAAAGAAGCGGTACACTTTAAAAAAGAAGCGGTACACTTTAAAAAAGAAGCGGTACACTTTGAAAAAGAAGCGGTACACCTTAGAAAAGAAGCGGTACACTTTGAAAAAGAAGCGGTACACTTTGAAAAAGAAGCGGTACACTTTAAAAAAGAAGCGGTACACTTTAAAAAAGAAGCGGTACACTTTGAAAAAGAAGCGGTACACTTTGAAAAAGAAGCGGTACACCTTATAAAAGAAGCGGTACACTTTGAAAAAGAAGCGGTACACTTTGAAAAAGAAGCGGTACACCTTAGAAAAGAAGCGGTACACTTTAAAAAAGAAGCGGTACACCTTATAAAAGAAGCGGTACACTTTAAAAAAGAAGCGGTACATCTTATGAAAGAAGCGGTACACCTTAGAAAAGAAGCGGTACACTTTAAAAAAGAAGCGGTACACTTTAAAAAAGAAGCGGTACACTTTAAAAAAGAAGCGGTACACCTTATAAAAGAAGCGGTACACTTTGAAAAAGAAGTGGTACACTTTGAAAAAGAAGCGGTACACTTTGAAAAAGAAGCGGTACACCTTAGAAAAGAAGCGGTACACTTTAAAAAAGAAGCGGTACACCTTATAAAAGAAGCGGTACACTTTAAAAAAGAAGCGGTACATCTTATGAAAGAAGCGGTACACCTTAGAAAAGAAGCGGTACACTTTAAAAAAGAAGCGGTACACTTTAAAAAAGAAGCGGTACACTTTAAAAAAGAAGCGGTACACCTTATAAAAGAAGCGGTACACTTTGAAAAAGAAGCGGTACACTTTAAAAAAGAAGCGGTACACCTTATAAAAGAAGCGGTACACTTTAAAAAAGAAGCGGTACACTTTAAAAAAGAAGTGGTACACCTTATAAAAGAAGCGGTACACTTTAAAAAAGAAGCAATACACCTTATAAAGAAGCGGTACACTTTAAAAAAGAAGCGGTACACTTTAAAAAAGAAGTGGTACACTTTGAAAAAGAAGCGGTACACCTTAGAAAAGAAGCGGTACACTTTAAAAAAGAAGCGGTACACTTTAAAAAAGAAGCGGTACACTTTAAAAAAGAAGCGGTACACTTTAAAAAAGAAGCGGTACACTTTGAAAAAGAAGCGGTACACCTTAGAAAAGAAGCGGTACACTTTGAAAAAGAAGCGGTACACCTTAGAAAAGAAGCGGTACACTTTAAAAAAGAAGCGGTACACTTTAAAAAAGAAGCGGTACACCTTAGAAAAGAAGCGGTACACTTTAAAAAAGAAGCGGTACACCTTATAAAAGAAGCGGTACACTTTGAAAAAGAAGCGGTACACTTTGAAAAAGAAGCGGTACACTTTGAAAAAGAAGCGGTACACCTTAGAAAAGAAGCGGTACACTTTAAAAAAGAAGCGGTACATCTTATGAAAGAAGCGGTACACCTTAGAAAAGAAGCGGTACACTTTAAAAAAGAAGCGGTACACTTTAAAAAAGAAGCGGTACACTTTAAAAAAGAAGCGGTACACCTTAGAAAAGAAGCGGTACACTTTAAAAAAGAAGCGGTACACCTTATAAAAGAAGCGGTACACTTTAAAAAAGAAGCGGTACATCTTATGAAAGAAGCGGTACACCTTAGAAAAGAAGCGGTACACTTTAAAAAAGAAGCGGTACACTTTAAAAAAGAAGCGGTACACTTTAAAAAAGAAGCGGTACACCTTATAAAAGAAGCGGTACACTTTGAAAAAGAAGCGGTACACTTTGAAAAAGAAGCGGTACACTTTGAAAAAGAAGCGGTACACCTTAGAAAAGAAGCGGTACACTTTAAAAAAGAAGCGGTACATCTTATGAAAGAAGCGGTACACCTTAGAAAAGAAGCGGTACACTTTAAAAAAGAAGCGGTACACTTTAAAAAAGAAGCGGTACACTTTAAAAAAGAAGCGGTACACCTTATAAAAGAAGCGGTACACTTTGAAAAAGAAGCGGTACACTTTGAAAAAGAAGCGGTACACTTTGAAAAAGAAGCGGTACACCTTAGAAAAGAAGCGGTACACTTTAAAAAAGAAGCGGTACACTTTAAAAAAGAAGCGGTACACTTTAAAAAAGAAGCGGTACACCTTATAAAAGAAGCGGTACACTTTAAAAAAGAAGCGGTACACTTTGAAAAAGAAGCGGTACACCTTAGAAAAGAAGCGGTACACTTTGAAAAAGAAGCGGTACACTTTGAAAAAGAAGCGGTACACTTTAAAAAAGAAGCGGTACACTTTAAAAAAGAAGCGGTACACTTTGAAAAAGAAGCGGTACACTTTGAAAAAGAAGCGGTACACCTTATAAAAGAAGCGGTACACTTTGAAAAAGAAGCGGTACACTTTGAAAAAGAAGCGGTACACCTTAGAAAAGAAGCGGTACACTTTAAAAAAGAAGCGGTACACCTTATAAAAGAAGCGGTACACTTTAAAAAAGAAGCGGTACATCTTATGAAAGAAGCGGTACACCTTAGAAAAGAAGCGGTACACTTTAAAAAAGAAGCGGTACACTTTAAAAAAGAAGCGGTACACTTTAAAAAAGAAGCGGTACACCTTATAAAAGAAGCGGTACACTTTGAAAAAGAAGCGGTACACTTTGAAAAAGAAGCGGTACACTTTGAAAAAGAAGCGGTACACCTTAGAAAAGAAGCGGTACACTTTAAAAAAGAAGCGGTACACCTTATAAAAGAAGCGGTACACTTTAAAAAAGAAGCGGTACATCTTATGAAAGAAGCGGTACACCTTAGAAAAGAAGCGGTACACTTTAAAAAAGAAGCGGTACACTTTAAAAAAGAAGCGGTACACTTTAAAAAAGAAGCGGTACACCTTATAAAAGAAGCGGTACACTTTGAAAAAGAAGCGGTACACTTTAAAAAAGAAGCGGTACACCTTATAAAAGAAGCGGTACACTTTAAAAAAGAAGCGGTACACTTTAAAAAAGAAGCGGTACACCTTATAAAAGAAGCGGTACACTTTAAAAAAGAAGCGGTACACTTTAAAAAAGAAGTGGTACACCTTATAAAAGAAGCGGTACACTTTAAAAAAGAAGCAATACACCTTATAAAGAAGCGGTACTGTCATATAGATAGGGTTCATACAGTATACCACTACATAAGAATTACCTCAGTTTAAGCAGTTAAGATACACTAGAGTAGTTACACTCTATTTGTACATTCAAATCCCGATACTAGTTACAGTATTATCTTTGAATACCAGATACTAAAGAGATCATCTCTTTCGAGAATGAACAATAGTCTCACCGTACTCAAGCCTCTACCATCTATACAACACATGAGTCCTTGCAATATACCTTATAAGCACTGAGCACTCACTGATAACTATTGATTCTGACTCATGAGAAAAGTGTAAATAGGCAAACTGCATCAATAGAAATAAAGATATTCAATAGTCTCAAAGGATTCTTATTGTCTCTTTTATCCTATAAGCTCTCATATATATTTCAGAAAGTAATGGGACAGCTCACTAAAGAAAAAAAAGGACACCGAGGTAAGGTGCTCTGTTTCTTTGCTGAGGTGTCCTGTTTCGTTTCCCATCTACCCCATATTGATTTCAATTGACCGATGTGCCGTTTTCCATTAACTGATGTACTGGGAGCGATCACAGCCAACGTGTGGCATATGGCTTTGGAATGAGTGGATTCAGAACATGAGAGTGATAGGACGTGTTTGATTTGACATATGGGCGATAGGTGATAATTACGAGTCGTTGGTAATCGTTTTCTCTTGTAGATCGGAAAATTTAAATTAATCATGGATGAAGTGATATGATGGAGTGGTAGCTTTTGAATAGGAGTCAGAATGGTATAATGATGTAGAAATACGACAGACAGCTTCACCATTCCGGACCTTAGTAGGAAAATGATAAATGATAATGAGTATGAATCTCATTTCGCGATGTTATCCATTATATACCTTGGCCAAAGTGAGCTTGCGCTTCACCTGCTCATCAATCCATTTGGAGCGATGCGCAGAGGCTGGTCTTGTTCTCAGTTCCTTCAGGCTGCCCTGACCGACATGTTTCCCAATAGTGGGTTATCGTAATTGTTCCTCTTGATCATGCGGATCTCCGCTCTTTGAGAGGCAACGCTCCGGTTTCCGCGATATGTCGGATTACCAGCGCCCCTATAACTTATACTGACAAATAAGGAATAAGCACTTTCGGAAAATACTCGCTCAAAAGTCTCTGTAATATGTGTGGAGGAGTATCGAACCAGCAAAGTGTGTGGCCAATGCGATGCTACTACCGTGGAAGTTTGCGACGAACAAGTTGCTGTTTGCAAGGGCTGGCAAATGTTTTACACTTTCTTTGGAAATCAACTCACTGACAGCCTGACTTCTTTTTATTATGTTATTAGCAAAAAATTGCCTGCGTTTGAAGGGCCTGGGTCGGAAAGCGAAGCAAAAAAAGTCTTGTGAAGATAAAAGCGTGTTAGGCCATATATCTGAGAACCCAGAGAGAAGATCTGCTAGTAATGATGATGTGGGCAGTATTGTACAGCAGTAGTCTGACCTTTCACTTAGGACGTTCGTACAAGAGCATCATTTATCCAGTTCAATTTGCCCACAGGCAAATCGAAGAATGGTATTTCGAATCAATTGGTAATTACGAAATCTTTTTTATATGGTTTGATGTCAATCAGCTGATATGTGTCCCAGGTTTGGAACAGGGATATCAATGCTGGGTTAAACATGCCAAGGATCCAATCAGACTGCCAAATCAATTCCAGACCGGTTCTCTCCAAAGGTCAACTGCCGAAAGATTTTTGTCTCAGATTGCTCCATGCCCAACGAACTGATACTGACCAGAGACGTTGACGATGACCCACCACTTATGCGGAAACAAGCAGGGTAATTTGGATCGATCCTGTAGTGTACATACAGTGCATAATAAATTATCGTCCATGGACGGCGTCCAATTTTCATGGCCGAGACGTCCAGTTCGAGACGTCTCGACCGGCAATTTTTTTTATTTTTAGAACAGCCGGGCCGTGCCAACGCCACCGGAGTTGATGATCCGGGAACATTTTGTTTGCTTTTGATTGGCCCGTGGAGACAGCGGCGGCAAGTCGCCGGGTCAAAGGAGGAAGTCTGCAGAAAAATTCGTCTCTCACAGCTCAACGCAGGTTTAGCAGTACCTATTATGACACCACCGATTGTTCATTTGAAATGGGGCAAGCATCGTTTTGATGTGGATCTCAGTGAATACAATTACGATATTCAGCAAGTCACGGTCAAGGAATTAAAAGAGAAATGTTCTCGATTAACTGGCGTTGCACCAGAACATATGAAATTGCTCGCCTACGGAGGTAAGCAGGCAAAGAAGTTGGATTGAAACTTGCTTTGCAGGCGACTCACTTAAGCGAAATAGCCGTCATGAAAAACGATGCCTTAACCTTGAGTAACTATGGTGTACGTGCTCGGTCGAAAATTATGATGCTAAGTTCCCCCCGTCCGGAAAAGGTAAGGGAGTTTGTAAGGATTATGTTGCTTATTCCGAAATGACTCATATTCACCCGTTGACAAGCCTGCGCATGCTCGACCAGCGGCATCACAGGAGCAAGCCATGGGAGCGGAGGAAAAGGCGCTTCTTGCGAAACTGGAAAAAATCAAGAGCGATATGGCGGACATTACCAAGGACATCAATCGCTACGAGGATCGTGTCAAGTCGTTCCAAAAGACATCCGAGGAAGATGCCAAAGAGCACAAGAAATTGAAGGATTATGCCGTATATTTGGGTGAACAATTAATGAAGACGCTATTTGAGTTGGATGGTCTCCTTTGTGGTAACCTGGAAACGGCGCGTATGGAGCGTAAAGAAGGTGTCAAGAAATCCCAGGCTTTACTCGATAGAGTAGACCGGATCAAAGCGTCTTTGTAAGGCAACTAAATAGACAAATGGAACCTGCAGAAGATGGCCAGCTAATCATCTTCAGAGTTCCGAAATGGAAGAGATAGAAAAGGAAATAGATACCAAAAATAATGATTAAATCAACAAAACTGTGGTCGGACAGACTGCAAATACAGAAAAAGAAAAACTCGCTTTTATCAGGTAATGAGATTATATAAAAAAAAAAAAACATTCGAGCCCGCAAAGGTAGAAACGCAAAAAAAATAGTAATCAAGAGGAAAATAGAAAATAACAGAGAGAAAAAGAAAAAGAAAAGAAAAAGATGTGTTCACACATTATCATGGGAATAATGCGAAATCTTCAAAAACATCTTCATCGTCTTGGGCATCGGAATAGGTTATCAATGGTGATGGTGGTGGTGAAGGAATATCTTGAGCAGCTGGGATGAGAGCATCGGTAAACTGTTGAATTTCTTCAAACACGGCATCATCATCATTCAATACAAAAGACGCTCCAGAGGATGGTAACAGAGGTGCTAAAGAATAGTCAGTAACAGGTTCGGGGATGGCGCCGAACAAAGACAAGGGTTCGTTGTAATCGTTTTCGGAAATAGTATCAATCTGCTGCTTATGGTCTTGCCATGAACAGGGTGGGGTCGGTTTAATGGTCGAGAATCGTCGAGTAGAACGAGCGGGTCTATGAGCATACGGGTGAGGTCGTTCCAAGCGTTGATGACGAGTTGGATACCGGGACAAAGCTGAGCTGGAAGAAGAGGAAAAAAGATGATCAGGCGAGGACTGATCAGAAGGCGGTACAATAGAAAATTCGGAAACATTAACGGGGCCAGAAGATGCTGGGTAAGAAGAACGGTGAGGAAGAAAAGTAGAATAAGACGAAGTTGAAGGGGAAGGCGAGTTGGAAGAGGAAGAAAATAACGAAGGAGAAGGAGAATAAATAGAAGAATGCGAAAGGGGGAAATCCGTGAAAGCAGTGTCAGTAGGTGGGGAACATTGAGATACATGGTTTAAGGCAGTGGGATACATTATGGTGGCAATTCCTGGTACACGAGGATAAAATTCGGTAGTGGCATCTTCTGGCATGGCCCGTGAATGGAAGTAGGGCGACCGGACAAGGTCGCTGTCAGGAAACCGTTGCCTTGATACGTGGTTTGGTTGCATGGCATCGCTGGTTGAGCAATGGACGGCATGGTGGTATTGAATTGGGTGTGATTCATTTTGAGATGATTTTTCAGAATAAGAAGCTTGCAAAACTTGCGGCGGAATGGTGTGCGAAGTTTTGTAGTACTTGTTGGTAATGAGGCGCGGTCGAGTCTTAAAGCAACAGAAAGTTACGTCTGCTTGGTTGTTGCTTTTGAGTAGCTCGCTTTTTCTTTTCGCTTTTTGTAAAGACTTCCTTTATCAAAACTTGTTTTTCTTTTCCCTTTGTAGTCTTTTTTTCACTGTTTTCTCAATATCTACTGGACGATAAAGAAAAACAAAAAAAAAGACCTATTGGCTTGTGGAAAGAAAAAAAGAAAGAAGAGTGAGCGAAGATGGAGTAGAGAAAAAAAAAGGAGAAGAGGGAAAAAAAGAAAAAAAAAGTAAATAATATGGGCAAAAAAAAATGGGGTCACCACATTGGACAATTTTTTTTCCACCAGCGTAACTTTAAAAAAACGAACACCTTTTTGATATTGTAAAAATGACTGAAAATCACTACTGTGTTGCAACACTTGCGCCAATGATTGGCCCACACTGTTGCTGAGGCTTTGATTGCACATCCACACGTGGTACTAAATACATTCAAGCTTCAGCTCGAACTGGCTGCCGGCTTCTTTATCGTCCACCCACCAAAGAAGTATCCAGTAATGGTCGTTGATCACTTTACACTCCCAGTAACCATGGCTGAGACTGATTTTGGTCTTCTTTTTATCGTCTGATTCCGGAGTCGCAAAATGGCAGGTCGGCACATAAATTTCTGTGGGCCCGCTCACCAGCTCATCTTCTCGTCGTTTATAAGTGAAAAAATACGCTGCATGATGACGATTGGTGGGTGATATAAACTGAATCGACACTGGGATACCTGCCACTTTCCATGGATGCGGCCTGTGTAAAGAAATCACATCACGCACGTTGGTGTCTGGGATTAACCTGGCGGTCGGCTGATCGTCACTGGCCGACTCCAGGTCACTTTCGTCATTCCAAGGTGAAATATCTGGATTCTTTTTGTATTTTCCGTGGCTCACTTCATCCACCAATGTTCTTGAACTGCCGCCGTAACTGGGTGGACCCTCCGATTGCCAGATACTGAGATCTTCGCCATCCCATCGATCGCCCCAAATAGGATCATTGTCGGGAACATAGTGCCAGAGCGTATAATTTAACAGGTTGGCTTCCAGTGCGTTCAAATTAGCATCCATGGCCTTGTTTTGCGGTGCTTCGGGTGTACCGATCACCGATGCTTGTCCGGTTTCAGAATAAACGCACCAAAATAAAATCCAGCCCCACAGCACCTGTAAAGCATTGGACTTTGCAGGTTCCATATCGTAAGGAATGCCTATTTCCCCTAGGATACAGGGATAAGGTCCCACATTGTCCCACCCTTCTTGCTGAATCGTAGCGAGCTGGTCTACAAAGCACTGGCGAATGGCCTTTTCGCCTAAACGAAGCGCTCTCAAAAATCGCATGGGTCCAGTACCGTATTTGCCTCGACTGAGATTGATTACGTCAACGTTGTAACTGCACCATTTCTTCTTTACCAGGGTCAACCCGTCATACCAATGAGGGGCATAAACTAAACGCGGCAAGGATGTCGGAATCTTGGGTGGAGTTTCTAACGTGGGTGGTTGCACGAAAATAATGGCTTCGCGATGGATGCTGCGCAACATCTTTGCATACGACTGCAGAAATTGAATCCAATGTTGACTGTAATCGGCGGGCTCGCCGGTCACTGGATTCATGCTGAAATAATGGGGCTGAAGCACGGTTTGTGTCTCCTTATCCCAAACACCGTGCAGCGCCCATATACATCCGGGTGACCAGGCATCGGATCGTGTCCAACCGAATGAGCGATCTGCTGCCTCCAACTCCGGCTCACTTAGCCACGCGGACGTGCCCTGAGGATCAACGTAGACGTCTTCTACCTTTTTGGGACCTGACCATGTAAATTTCCAATTTTGAACATGCGTTGCATACCCGGAGCCTAAAACCATTCCCTGGAACGCGGTTGGCATCAGCCCTTTTTTGAAATCAAGATCGTTGTCTCTCAAATTCCGGATATCTAGCAAACCCACGTAGCCTTGACCAGGTTCGTTCATGGTGTCGTAACCAAGGACCGTTGTATCTTCCAGACCGCCATGTTGGTGAATTCGATTCGTCAATGCTTCGATAGCGCGAAAATAGTGGGATTGCAGATAATCTTGCACATGCACACCGTTCACGTGGCATTTGGGAGCATAGATTTTCCCCGCAAAAAACAGCGTAAACATGGTCGATGCTGCCAACCGCTGATAATTGGTATTCCATATCATTTTTGGGAATTGATCGGGCTCCGGATATAAATTATGCACAATGGCAGCGTTGGTCACCTGGAAATTGAGAGGGTTCAAACCGACCAGCGAGTGTGTCCACCCTGGGTGACCAGATCCACCACAGTGTCGCGACCACTAACGATGAAAATGCCGTCCCATGAATCACTTTGAACTACGATAATTCGATCTTTTTTCACTCGTTGAATTAACACTTACAGCATCTTGGTGTGGATCGATGTATACTTTCAAATTGAAAGCTTTGCACTTGTCCAATAACTGAATCACGTATTCCAGATACTGTTGGTCGTATATGCCTCTATGGAAATGTGAAACAAAAGAAAAGACCGCATAAACATGGGTGTACTCAGTTTCCTTGTCAAGGAACGTATGTGAATGTATCGAGTGACGGAAACAGTACGCACGGACCTTCATGTTCAATAGCTTCCCAAGTTACAAGAAAACGCAACAAGTTGAAGCCCAGAACCACCAGTCGTTGAAGATGATCGTCGGCTTCTTCGATAGGAAACGGTCGACCGACCATACTGATGTTACGATCGTGGTCGATCCAATATCCGTCATTGACATGGGAGGGAATGCCGACCGGCAATTTCGCACCGCCTCCCACGTTGACACCTCGAAATAGCACGGTTCTATTGGTCGCTCGCTCAATAAACCATGGACCATCCAAATCCATCATGCCAAAAAAAAAAATTATGGAGCAAAAAAGTAGAGATGGTTATTATGCGATAAAGCAAAATTAAGTCCAATGAGAAGAAAAAGGAATGGTGAGTTCATTTCATAGTCAAGTGATGCAATGGCGATTTCTCGCTTTTCCATATATGGCAATCGCCCATTGCAACCCTCTGTCTCCGAAAAGGAAGAACATTCGGTGCCCCTTATAAAAAGAAAAAAAAAGGGCGAAACACCATCCGTAAAATAATCAAGAATTTTATACGATGCAATGAAAGTCAAGAAACTCGGAAAGTATGAACAACAACACTTTTGCATGGTCAACCCCACCATGTTGTTCTTTGTGCAACCACTCTGACACAATCATGCCGTTAAACACTACGGTTTCTGGTCTCCGATTTCTGTCACAGCAGGATCGTTTGTGAGATAGCCGAAAAAATTAAATCCATGGTAGTGATCATATAGGTCGGCCGAGTTTTCCAGAAGACCTGACCAGCTGACGATCGCGCGCGCTGTTACATTAACGGTTCAACCTTTTTCTGATATGCAAGTGGACAAACTGCCAGATGATCAAGGCAAAGGTCACACAAGCAGAGGGTGCTGTGGTAGACAAGCTTTTCTATGAACGAGTACCTTTTTATATCCATGACTGCCGGACACAGCACGGTATTATCTGTAATGCTCTATACTTTTTACTGTCGACATTTGCGACGAACCATTTAGGACCGGTAATTACGGAAATGAAAGTATCTAAAAGCGACTCATTTTTATTTTGTAACGATTTGCTATGGTTGATATTCTGCAATGGGTGGTCGTGAAGTGCTTGGAGAAATTACATGACAAAGGTGGTACTTTGTCCGCCTGTCAAACGCTATTACATTCCATGCTATTTATTAACTATCGCAATTTCATATAATACTAGTGAATATGATGCGACTAACAGTCCTACTTTTACATAGTGCTTTAGTGGCGGCTTGTTAAGGCTGTTGCCAGATACGATGGAGGAGAACAGTCACTTCCTCAAGATGTGCTTTTTATTTGCTGTTGTGTAGAATCGGAACGTGGTCATTCTGACCAAACTGATCGATGATTTTTGTAGTACAGCTTCCATTTTGCCATTGGCTTGATCCACAAGTGCAAAACCGTTTCCTTCTCAAATTTGCTCAGTTGCCATATCGCAAGACTGGTACAGCGACTTCCTTCATCAATTGCGCTGTAGGATTGCTAACCTTGTTGAAATCGGCCAATATGAACACGAAATATGGCTGATGCCTTCGGTTGCGTGTAAAATGACTGGCTCGACGCGTGAGAAAGTAAGTTAAGGCGCCCGCAAATCTTGGGTCAACCTGCCGAACGCGCTCTTCTGCTGGTATTCGGCTTCCATGGCCTCCCTTACATGCAATAGGCACGGAAGGTGACCATCTTATTCCGGATCTCGTTGGTTAAGCAGGTAATATCGGAAACCGTTCGCACTGCTGAAGAGCTCCCAAGACGCGAAGATAATGTCCCTATCGGACAGTGCCTTCCTGCGGAATCAAGCATCGACAAGAGCCTTCACAGAGTCATGGACCTTTTTGCTAGGGCCGCGAATAGGTCCGCCCTTGACCTGGAAGGAAGGCAGATCCTTTGGGACCAATGCGGAACACTTCGGTTAACCGGTGTGGCAGAAGGGGCGTCCGGGATGTACCAGGCTGCATGCTTAGCCTTTAGGTAGGCTTCCCATGCAATGTTGGCCTTCTTCAAATCGTATTAAACACTGATAAGCTCTTGTTCGCTGTGATCGGATCCGCTAATAGTTGAAAATCCAAGAGTGACAGAACCGGAAATGTTATAATGAAGGACCTCAACGTCACCTTCAGATGGAATAACTTGTGCATGAGCAACCACAAGATCGCCCAGAAAATTCATCCCGCACTCCGCAACGTGA